GTCAGTATGAATTCTGTCCAACTGTCCAGTGTTACACAATTTCCACTATAGTCACGGTTGACCTGCCTTTATTTCAAGCCTTGGTTTTCGAACAATGTAAATCTCTCATTCCTTTTCATATTTGCAGCATTGAAACCTAAAATTATTCACATAATTTACACAAGCCAAACAAAATGCAGGTTATTACATTTTGCATTTTTGTTTTAGATTTTTCTTTCCCAACCGAAATTGTGGAAAAGATTCGTCAGCTCTACGGAACACGTGAACAACGCCTCCTACCTCTTCCTTGGTGTGAAGATTTCAGTTTTCATCTGAATGAAGTTTTTACCAGGTTAAAGATCGTGAGCAAAGAAAAAACCCGAGGAGTACTTACTGACGACATTACTAATATGACTGCAATCTTCAAGGCGCACTCAGAATGCCAAAGACCGCGAACAGTCTTGATTGAAGGAGACCCGGGGATGGGTAAAACCACGTACTGTCAGAAGCTAGCGTATGATTGGGCAACTAAGCAGAAGGAGTTCGACCCCTCTTTTCCAGACATCGACGTGCTATTACTTCTCAAATGTCATGAAGTGAAATCAAGCATCTGGAAAGCTATTGATGATCAAATTCTTCCTGCAGAAATTGACGATCAAGCTAGAGAATATTTCTTCAAATTCGTTCGTGAAAATCAGTCGAGAGTTTTGTTAGTACTTGATGGATTAGATGAAATGGACTCCACTGAAATGAAAAGAATCTATGACTTGGTTGAGGGTAAAGAACTCTCGGGTTGTCACGTTATACTCACATCTCGTCATGAGGTAGGGAGCAAACTAAGGAGGTATTGTGACACTCTGTGGGAGATTGTAGGTTTCACCGCAGAAGATGCAAATAGTTTTATTCGTACGTACTTTAAAAGCATCAACAGGGAGGAGTTACAGGAGAATTTGCTACAAAAGATTCGGTGTTCGCAAGAGTTAAGAAACTTGTCAAAAAATCCCTTGAACGTAACCTTACTTTGTGTTCTTTGTGAAGATTTAGAGGGCGTTTTTCCAACGAGCAGGACTGAATTGTACACCGAGATTGTCTTTTGTGTCTTAAGGCGATATGAAAAGAAGCAAGGTTTGTCCAGCAAAAGTGACGACCTTATGAGCGTCTACAGGGATGATCTAATACATCTGGGACGAGTGGCGTTACATTCTCTTCGAAAAGGAGAGCTATATTTTGAAGAACACGAATGTGGAATTACCTCTATTGCTTTATCCAAGTTTGGATTTCTTTCACTCCATTCTAGTGGCTGCAAGAGGAAAGCTCTTGTGCGTTATGCATTTCTCCACAAAAGCTTTCAAGAGTTCTTTTCTGGATTTTATCTTGCTTGCCAAATTCTTAACGGAGGTATTGACTGTGTCTCAGTAGTAAAAGACGAGAGATTTAAAGACGAATTAAAGCAAGTGTTTTTTTTCATGATTGGAATTTTAGCTTCGACGAGTAACGAGACAGCAGAGTCTGTCATTAAAATTATTGCTGAAAATATTAATTTAATAGATCCAGATTGTAATGAAGACATTTGTGTATTCTTTCGTTTAGCCTTAGGCTGCATTTTAGAGTGCCCAAGTTTATCTCGTATCCTAGGGTCACACCTTCACATAAGTGATTTAGATTTGAGTAGGAACGGCCTTTATAATTCTGGTACTGCTTCTCTTTCTTACGTTCTTACTTCCAACGCCTCCTTAACTAGTTTGGAACTGAGAGAGAACAGCATTGGTCATTCTGGTGCTGCTTCCCTTTCCCAGGCCCTTGCGACCAACTCCTCCTTAACCAGTTTGGATTTGAGGGGTAACAGTATTGGTGACTCCGGTGCTACTTCCCTTTCCCAGGCTCTTGCGATCAACTCCTCCTTAACTAGTTTGCATTTGAGAGAGAACAGGATTGGTCTTTCTGGTGCTGCTTCCCTTTCCAAGGCGCTTGCGGCCAACTCCTCCTTAACCAGTTTGAATTTGAGAGGTAACAGGATTGGTGACTCTGGTGCTACTTCCCTTTCCCAGCTGGCTCTTGCGACCAACTCGTCCTTAACTAGTTTGGATTTGAGTTTGAACAACATTGGTCATGCTGGTGTTGCTTCCCTTTCCAAGGCTCTGGCTACGAACTCCTCCTTAACTAGTTTGTATTTTAGTAAGAACAGCATTGGTCATACTGGGGCTGCTTCCCTTTCCCAGGCTCTTGCGACCAAGTCCTCCTTAACCAGTTTGGATTTGAGAGAGAACTTTATTGGTCATTCTGGTACAGCTTCCCTTTCCCAGGCGCTTGCGGCCAACTCCTCCTTAACCAGTTTGAATTTGAGAGGTAACAGGATTGGTGACTCTGGTGCTACTTCCCTTTCCCAGCTGGCTCTTGCGAACAGCTCGTCCTTAACTAGTTTGGATTTGAGTTTGAACAACATTGGTCATGCTGGTGCTGCTTCCCTTTCCAAGGCTCTGGCTACGAACTCCTTAACCAATTTGGATTTGAGTAGGAACAGCATTGGTCGTGCTGGTGCTGCTTCCCTTTCCCAGGCTATTGCAGTCAACTCCTCCTTAACTAGTTTGGGTTTGAGACAAAGCGGGATTTGTGATTCTGATGCTGCTTCCCTTTCCCGGGCTCTTGCGACTAACTCCTCTTTAACCAGTTTGGATTTGAGTGTGAACACGATTCAAGATTTTGGTGCTGCTTCCCTTTTTCGGGCTCTGATGGTTAACTCCACTTTAACTAATTTGGATTTAAGTAAGAACGACATTGGTGAGTCTGGTGCTGCTTCCCTTTACCAGGCTCTTGCGACCAACTCCTCCTTAACTAGTTTAGATTTGAGTGGGAACGACGGGATTGATCTTGATGCTCTGTCGCTTTCCCATGCTCTAACATCAAACTCCTCTTTAACTTATTTGGGTTTGAGAGGGACCCGCTGTATTGGTTTTGGTACTACTTTACTCTTAGAGGCTCTTGCGGCCAACTCTATCTCGTATTTGGAAAGTAAGGAAGAAAAGGAGGAAGAACTTAGTTCTCCTCTCCTTTACTTTCCATTTTCAGAGTAAGTGAGTAAGAAAATTTGTTTACTTAGTACTTAACTTTTTTTTGTTTCAAAAATTCCCAAAAATCGTATGACACGAAAGAAGCTTACCCTTTAGAGTAAATTCCAGGAAGGCATGATAAATGAATTATTTCATCAGAAAGCTTAAATACCGGTAGTTGAAAAATGGAGAGTTTTTAAAGATCTCTCAAGCCCATAGTTTAGTCCATTCTCACGATGTGGTAATTTAGCTACAGCAGCTAGGATTAATTTCTTTGTTGTTGTTGTTGTTTTTTTAAAAACTTGATTTAGTAGTAACATTCATATCAAATAACGATAGACAAAGCTTACACCGGCAGTAGCTGCTGGAAAAGGTCATCACTCCTGATTGGTCAAGCATTCTATCGCCACATGTAAGGGAATCCGGATTGCGGAATCCAAGAAATTTTTGCTTGTGAAATCCGGAATCCTGGGTTTTGGATTTGGATTTGGATTTGGAATTCTGCGCAAGGAGTCCGGCCTCGCACTAACAATTGGAATCCAGAATCCAAGTTCCACCAAGACTTGAATCCAGTACCTGGAATCAGGAATCCATGGCGTTGAATTCAGAATCCAAGACTGTCTTGATTCCCATGGATTCCCTTACATGGAGCGAATTCTGGTGGTTTTGTATCGTTGAAATGAACCGATGATAAACAAAAAGGGAAATCAACCAGTTTCAGTGCCTGTTGTAGGTTCTCATTTAATTTGGTAGCAAAGGATAAAGGTCGGTTTTTTAAGCGAAGTTTGACTTGTAACGAGGTTTTACTATCATAAGACCTCCAAATCTCTTTATAAAGTCTTGACACTATTTGTAAAAAAAGCTGTTTAGTTGTTGGGTTTTGAGAGATTGAAAATGGGATAGAACACGGCTTAACTTGCTAAACAATCAGCTTTTCGTTCATAACCAACACCAAAGGCTTCATCTTGAGACCCCTGTTCGTGTAAAGAAGATTAATTTTGCCTGGATTTCATCGCAAATTTGAATACAATTTTACGGTTTAGAAGTGAGGAGCTAGAGCTTAATATGTCAACGCTTTTGACAGTGCAAAACAGTCTACAATAAAGCTAACCCAATCGTGGGTGAATATTTTAACCCTGCGTGGGCCCTATCTTGCCGCTGCCCTCGAAGTTCTGTGTATTTTTTTAATCCATTAATTCCGTTACGGAATAGTGAAAAAATTCAATTTTAATGGGCAACCATTAGTAATGTTCTCGTTACTATATTGCCTAAATATATGGCAAAAGCTTATTGTAGATGGTTCGACTCCGACTAAATTTAGCATCGTATCGATGTTTGTCTTCAGAAAACAAGTTAACGTTTTATGAGACTACTATGCAACTAGATTTAACCTCATCCCGTGTAGACTCTGTTATCTGTAACTTTGCAACGTTCTCTGTTACACTATCTACCGGCCTTGTTTAACTACTGTTCTATGCGAGAACTCATTATACCACTCGTTATTTATTAAATAAAGCTTCTGTTGTTGATGATGATGATGATGATCTTTTTTCTAGTATTTAACCGAAAATTTTTCCGTTGTGTCGTTTCACTCCAAGTTAATGCAAGACAGTCTTGCATTCTGGATTCTACGCTGTGGGTTCTCAGGGCTGTCATAAAGTTTTTATAAATAAGTAGCAGGCTGATAATAAATGGTAGGCGGCTTTGGAACACAAGCTCTTGAGGGCCGAGGCATCCAGGGACATTTTGAAATTTAATCTCGGAAATGCCATTTCTAGGGGTTTTCAAGAGGTATTTTCCACCGCGGACACCATTTTGTTTCGTCCGAATACACGCAAGACTGGGAACACTGCCGTCGAAATGTCCCACGCCTTCCACGACATCGCACTGTTCAAACGTTTCACAGATCTAAACCTGTTTAAATATGCGTTCAATGTCATTCAAAACTGGGAAGCGGATGCTTTACAATTTTATTCGATGGTGCTTATTTTTTGTTAGCAGTTATGGTAGAAGGATATGAATGTAGCCAGCTAAGGATGGCTAACTAGCCGGCGGTTCCGGCCGGCTACCGGCCCTTATTGATAGCCCTGGGTTCTGGACTACAGGTACTGGATTCTGGGTTCCTTATCTGTGAAACTTGGATTCCGGATTCCAATCATTAGTGGGATTCCAGATTCCGATCATTGGTGGGATTCCGGATTCCAATCATTTGTGGGATTCCGGATTCCAATCATTAGTGGGATTCCAGATTCCAATCATTTGTGGGATTCCGGATTCCAATCATTAGTTGGATTCCAGATTCCAATCATTTGTGGGATTCTGGATTCCAATCATTAGTGGGATTCCAGATTTCAATCATTAGTGGGATTCCAGATTCCAATCATTAGTGGGATTCCGGATTTCAATCATTAGTCGGATTCCGGATTCCTTGGGCTGGATTCCTGAGAGTCTTTACCTCTTCCCTGGGGTCAAAATGGCAACTGACCTACATGCGACGTGACGTGCAAGGCGCCATTATGGCTGCCACGTTTTCAGGAGCTCTTCGCCTATTTACTATTTACTGGGCTGCCTGTGCGGCCCACTCATAAATTCGGTTTTCGGTAGTCGGTGTTGAAAAGTGGTCTCCCGGGGGAGGGAAGACACGAGGGTCTGGTACCGAGAAGCAATGTTCTCACAAATGGTTTCATATGGTTTTCTCTTGCACGAACCCTTGCACGGATACTTTTTGTACCTTGTCTCCGCTCCCCCTGAAAAACCCACAAGGCGTTGCGAACTTGTTCGAAGCGATTAGATCATAGCAGTCACTCCATAATTTTTTTATTGTTCGAGTTTAAGTCAGTTAGATGATGTTGGCGCTGGGAAACTCAGAGAAATGCTCACGTTACATACAAAACGACACGCCGTTCACGGTAGGTTCACACCAAAAGATGACTGTGAGCATCAGGTTTGGAACGCCGTGGCCGCTTCGTGAACTATCGATCAATGTAGTACATGAGCAATTAAGAAGCACAATTTATGAGCAAAGTATTTCACCAGTTGACGACACTATGGCTGAAGACTTGATTGTAAGCCGTCATAGTCAGTGAAGCGAACAACTCGGTTGCCGATGAATGGCAGATGAATCCTGATGTGACGCACGTCCATGAGCGCGGGACGTCACAACTTTGCCATGTTAGAAGACTGGCTTTTCCTTTAAATATTTCCTTCTATTTAATGCAACACACGCCACTTTGGAGGTCTAAATTTCGGATACTGAGGATAAAGAAGACACGGACAAAAACAGGAACTCTGAGAATTTCGCACACAAGTTTAAAGCTTCACCGGGACATCCCATCCGGGAGCTTCACAGAGAGCGACTTGAGGAAAATAGGAGCTATTACTGACAAGGTTTGGTCAGGCCCGTAGCAGGGGGAGGGGCAGAAATTTTCAGACTTGAATTTAATTCTGCTACAAAAGTGGAAGTTTTCGACTAAAATGGACAGCTTTAACACGTTACGTCAAAGAGCTAAAAAAACTCTTTCAAAATACGAACGTGAATAAATAAAATCTATAATAATTACAGCTATATAATATTATTCAATTTAAAAAACAACTCAATAAATATATACATATAAAAAACCTGGTTATAAAAACATAAAATATAAAAAGCTAAAACCGACCAAAAAGCCACATACTAAAAACGTGACTAGGAAAACTATAATACTCGTTCTAAAAAAAGTTAAAAGCTGCAATCGTGCACTATAAGACACGTTCTAAAAAGCTGCAATCGTGCAATTTACTTCTGAAGTCATTAGCATCACTTGAAAGACGCACTTGAGGAGGCAAACTGCTCCATAACTTAGTTAATGAATAAGTGAAAGAATTCTTCTTAATTTTAACTAATATAAGGGTCAATTATTGTGCATTGAGATGAATCGCTTGAAAAGAGAGACTTCGCTTGATGATGTGATCAGAAGTAAACGAAGGCATAATACTGCGTCACGTTCAGTCTTTTTAATATCCAAGGAGTCACTATGAATAGTGTTTCCATATTGTTTAGCTGACACAAAAACTTCGGACGAGTTATAAAGCGGCATAGTTATCTTCCATGAAAA